ATGTTAAAGCTCATCTAATTGTATATGTTTACATGGGTACAGTTTGAGATGATATAATTCTAAATAAATAGCCAATGTATAAGCAAACTATAGTAACGGGGCTGGCCAAGTGCAAGTCAGGCCACCATGTTCAAAAAGCAAGAGATAAGCTTTTTCTTCTGTTCTCCCTCTCTTGACCTGTCATGCTGTTTTTTGTTTTCAAGACCTATTTATTTAATTTATTTATTATTGCTATTATTTAATTTGACCAGAGGGAGAGAGTGAAAGAGAGAGAGAGAGGGAAAGTGAGAAAGCAAGCTGCCAGGTCTCGGACTCAAACTGTGGTTTGCCATGTAGGAGTCCAGCACTTTAACCACTATGCCATAAACTGGCCTCTTGATCTGCCATCCTGTTTAGATTTGCTATTTTAATGTCATGCTCTCTTAGGCACAGGGATAGTCCTGGGGCAAGTTTACCTAGGGTCTCACTCTGTAACTCCACTGGAATTCAACCACAAAGTTCATCAACTTTGGGGTTAACCCTCACACAGCCACCTGTCTTATGTCCCCAAAGTCAAGCCAGTCAGCTTTCCTTCCTGTGGGCCACCACTCCAACCCACAGTGGATGGGCACCTCCCACCTAGCATGTAATCTCCATGCTTGGACGCTTGGATGTGCTAGGTTGCTGAATAGGAGTGACAAGAAGCTTGCCCTCTCCCTGCATGCACTTGTGGCACTGCAGGTCTCAGGAAGGGCCCGTAACCATCATATCCCACCCCACGCACTCAGTTCACAGTCTTGACTCTCTTTTCACTCTTTTCTGGACTCTTGTTGGGGGTGTAGGGTGACAGCAGTCACTAGGAGGCAGGAATGGGCAAGCTCAGGGTGGGGAGTGACTGGATAACACAGGCTTTAAGCCCCCAGCACATGCTGCATTGTGCCTTCCTTTGCAAAATTCAAATTCAAACATAAAGTTATTAAACTAGAAACAGTCCCTTCTGAGTGCAGGTCCTGTGTGAATGCCCTAGTTGCATGCCTCATGAAGCTGATCTCATATAGGATGTGTATACAGTGGAATAATACAGAACAGTGAAAAATGAAGATGCTACAGGTATATGCAACAATGTATATGAATCTCATAATCATCATTTCCAGTGAAAAAATTAATTTCAAAAGGAAATGTATAGTACAATTCTATTTATATAAAATTTGGAAACTGAGCAAATGAAACCACCTTGTCCAGAGTACATGTGCAGGCCATAAAACAATAAATTAAATAAGGAAAGGATTATCACAAAGGTAGGGGAAAGATCACCTCTAAAGGGAAGAGTGGACTTGTTATCTCAGTTTTCTTCTCATCAATTCTTTTTTTTTTTTTTTGAGAGGTTTTTCGCTATAGGGCGCGTGCGCTCGCCAGACAGACAGAGAGAGACATAGAGACAGAAAGCGAGAAATCACCCCCCAGAGGGGATGGTCACACCGCAATCCCTTCTCCTCCATTCTCCTCTCAGGATCTTGGGCACGCACGCACACGCACCCGGCGTGAGTTTTAAGCCACCGGGTCCGGGACGCAAACCGCGGTCGACTATGTGGGAGTCCAGCGACATAGCCATTACGCTAACTGCTGGTCCCCTTCTCATCCATTTTTGATTCCTTTTGATTATATATTTTAAGCAAGACCCTGATGGCTGCTCATCTCCTTCCCCCTAGGAATGCCCCAGTCTATGAGCCGTGTCTATGGATGTCTGTAAGTTGGGCCCCCTGGCTGCTGTTCCCAACTTGCTGCCTATCACATTAGTTTTGCCCAGCATATTTGATGCTTAGGTGATGTCCCTGGCTTCTGGTATTCCAGGATCATGTCCCTATTGGCACTGTGAAGCCCACTTCTATAGCAACATCTTCTGCATCAGTACTGTCTAGAAAGAACAGATATTACTGGCTTTTCAGCAATGCTTGATCCCTCCCACCAGTGCATTTCTTGTGTTTCTTAACTTACTTGATTACTGAAGTACATAATCCAGGCCTTCCTGAAACATACAGTAATTCAGCTACAAAAACCCACCCTTAGTGTGGTCCTAGGAATGTAAATTCTTAAAATTCTCATCAATCTGCTATCATTAAAAATAAAACAATCCATCTCGCTATATAAAGTAGCCAAAACTCTTTTCAATCCTGAGGACATTCACACATGTTTATGTACATAGCTAGTTTGGACATTGGAATAGGATTTATCTTTGATGTTAAAATGAGCATTCTTTTCTCGTTCTTTTTAAATTGACAGTAGGAATCTTCAAGGTACTGTAAAGCTGTGATTATAAGAGAGTTCAACAAATACATTGAAATTTGGAGAACAAAATTAGTAAATCAGTTTTTTTGGAGAGGTTTTTGCTACAGGGTGTGTGCACTCACCAGAGAGAGAGAGAGACAGAGAGAGAAAAAGTGAGAAATCACTCCCCAGGGAGGATGGCCACACCTCAAACCCTTCTCCTCCATTCTCCTCTCGAGATCTGGGGCATGCACACACACGCTTCTGGTGTGAGTTCAAGCCACCGGGTCCAGGACTCGAACCGCGGTTGACTACATGGGAGTCCAGCGATGTAGCTATTACACTAACTGCTGGTCCCGGTAAATCAGTTTTTAAAAGTGAAAAACTTGATTTGATGGTGTGTGTTGGCTTTTTAATTTTTATTTATTTATTTTTTTGAGTGGACTTGGACTTGATTTCCCATGAAGTGAGCACAGCTCAACTATTCTCACAGAGGTTACAAAGCCTGAAGCCCGAGGGCAAATCCTTGAAGCGTGCAGTTAAAGAATAGCAGGTGGACTGGAAGAAACAGCTTGGAACTAGTTTGTGTCACCAGTCAGCATGGTAATGATTCCCTGACATGTTCTAATGATAAGGTTCAGGTGTATATGCTCTGGGTTGCAAAATAGGAACGTTTTCATTGTTCTGCAGCAGTGACTTAGAAGCAGTCAGCCCCTGCTTCCTGCTCTGTGCTCGGTGACTCTGGTCACTTCTGCTGAAAAGTACTCCCTGCTCCCTGTGCTGCGTCTGTGACAGAGAAGAGGACATTTTCACCTCGGTGACTAAATCATGGACTGGTTCCTAATCCTATTTCTAGTCTGCTAGCTGTGCTTGGATGATTCTGCTTTCTAACATCATATTTTAGGATTTCTTTTTTCCCATTCCGGTAGAGAACATGAAGCTTCTGTGATCCCTCTCTCCTGAAGCAGCTCCCATAAGTTTCCTTCCCCTCTGATTTGGGCCTCCTTTGGCTGTGGACCCTGGACTTATGAGCTTGAGCTCCAGGACCCAGTCTGGAAAAGTCTGAGGGTTTTCCTAGTTCAGATTCATAGAAATGTCAAGTGTTGGAGAGCTAACTGCCAGTTTATCAACAGGTTTTCCTGCCTCCTATTTCACAGCTCCCTAACTCACTCCTTGAAATAATGCTCTCCATGGCTGAGCTCAAGACAGCTTCATCCAAGACCTTGACCAGAAGCCCCTGCCCTTGAGAGACCCCTCCCTCTCCTTTTTCCTTCCAACTTGTCTACTTAGAAGCTCATGTTAAATGACTAAGGCTGGAACTTCCTGACACTTTTGCGGAATAGGTATTGTGGAATGTCTAGAAATAGTCTTCACAAGGGGAAGATAAAGGAAGCCGACTTTGACTTCAGAAGGTAAGGTTGGGAAGGTCCCATATACCTGAGGTGAGTACATGAATCATCTTAGCCCTAAGTGGAGATGCTGAGAGGGGCTTCGTGTGAGGCTAATGTAGGAGGAGTTGTAGGAACATTTCTGGGTTTTGTCAGGGTGGGGGGACTTTCTGGCAGAATATTATGTGGAAGAATCCACACCCACCCTGTTACTCCATGGTGGCTTCCTGTTCCCATTCTCCCACTATGAATGCTCACTCAACACCCCTAACCTCACTCTTGAAACAAGCTACCCAATTGCTTGTTTGTTGAGGACTTTTTCTTTTCTCTCTCTCTGTCTCTCTCTCTTTTTTTGTTTTAAGAGAAATTTTTGCTATAGGGTGTGTGCACTTACTGGAGAGAGAGAGAGAGAGAGAGAGAGAGACAAAGAGACAGAAAGAGAGAAACCACTCCCCAGGGGGATGGCCACACTGCAATTCCTTCTCCTCTATTCTCCTCTTGGGACTATGGGCACATATACGTACCTGGTGTCAGTTTCAAGCCACCAGGTCCAGGAACCGTGGTTGACTACGTGAGAGTCCAGCGATGTAACCATTACTACATCTGCTGGTCCTCTTTTTTTTTTTAACTGTATAATTTCTTTTGGATTGCCCTTGATCCCATGAATCAGTAGGTATTATTAATTTTACTTTACATATAAGGAAACACAATCAGAGAGATTAAGTAATTTACTCAAGGTCACAAAGCTAAGTATAGCAGTGTTAAGTCTATCTTATGTAAGTCCATGCTGTCTTATGCCCTGTTAAACATGCTCATTTTTCAGCTATTCCAGTTAACAGGAAGAGTGGAAGGGCCTGGTGGAGTGAAAAGTACCCCGACTGAAGATCTAAGGCCCAAATTTCAGTCATAACTGTCTTTGATATTTGGTGACTCATTCTCCTCTCTGCCACATAAAATGAGAGCGCTTTCATGGATGTGTCTATATTTCTCCCATTTCCAATAGATTGTTAGGACAACTTAGAGTGACTTTTCACACTATACTCCATGTATTTTAGAAACCCAAGAGTCATGATGTCTGATCTCAAGTTAATGACACACAACCAGATCATGGGAAGAGAAAACAGGTTGTCATATGCTGCAAATGGTATTGAGCTGACCCTACTCAGTGTGAGGGTGGAGAGTCACTTTCTGAAATACATTTTTATATATTTTTGAAAGGACCTCTCTCTCTCCTTTTTTTTTTTTAAAGAGATTTTTGCTATAAGGTGCATGCAGTTGCTAGAGAGACACAGAGAGAGAAAGCAAGAAATCATCCCCAGGGGGGATGGCCATGCTGCAATTCCTTCTCCTCCATTGTCCTCTTGGGATTGTGGGCACACTCACATGTGCCCAGCGTGAGTTTCAAGTCACCAGGTCCAGGACTCGAATGACAGTCAGCCATGTGGGAGTCCAGCGATGTAATTATTATGCCATCTGTTGATCTCACCCCATTTGTCTTTATGTCCATTTGGACAGACTGCCCATCTGTTGCTTGTGCTAAGACTTGTCAACGGACTTGTCAGACCAGACATTTCATGTGTGTCTCTATTGGTTGAGATGGTTCTTTATTTTTCTTTTGAGTACTGTGATCTCTGTTGGATCTTATACAGTCACCCTAGCCGTCACTTCAGTCTTTTCTTCAAGACAAATAGGCTCACAAGATCCAGTACTCTCCTGCTCTGTTTGGTACTCTCTTCTATGGCCTGCCAATAACTTCAGAAGCAGGTAATCTTCTTCCATATTAGTAGCAGCCCAGATAGAAGTGATTCCAGAATCTAAAGCTTATTTCATCTCTGTCTCTCCTAATTTCCCAATGTTTAAGTTGGTCTGCTCATTGTTGCCAGTATCTTAGGCCACCATTTTCCTTATTGACTCCAACAGAGGGACAAGCACCTCTTAGCAGGGGTAGACTTTTCTCCATTCTTATATTATACATTTCTTTATATTTCAACATATTAATATCAACACTAGTCATAAAATACATAACTTCCAACTGGACTGAAGAGGATGTTCAGTTACAGGTAGGCATGATTAAGTAGGGCACCACCTTAGAATTCAGAAAAGATAAAAGCCAGTATTCCAGAAACTAGGAGTTTTATGTAAAACTTCAATTTATGAAATTAAGACAGGGAGGAATGTGAGCTGAAGCAGGAGGCCTTGGTCCTAAACAGGAATTCTGTTGAGTTTCATCCACAAATGGGCTCTGAAGTGCAAAGAAGTTGCTGGAGACTGAAACTCAGCTCCTGCCATTGGGAGCAGAGCAGGCATGGCAAGGAGGCTCCCTAACTTAGAACTCCGTAACTTCACCATTACAATGGCAGTATTTTCTTGCTTTCTGAGAAAAATAAAAAGTTTTTGCCAAAAACTTGCAAAAAAAGGGTATACAAAATGAATACTCATGTGAATTTTACTCTTTAGTTAAAATTGTGTAGCAATTTTGTTGACTGGGGCTGGCTTTGAGTTGTTAGCTTCATCATCAGATCTTTCACACGATGGATTTTTACTCTGGAAAAGTAGAAAAAGGGATTGGGTGAGATTTCACAGTAGAGCCACTTTCTTTTCCTAGATTTCAATGTCTAGGCAGAAGAGAGGAGGCCATTGCAATAGTAAGGAGGGGAAATAAACTATCAGAGAGAGAAGTGAAGACAGGAGGATAGAGCCCACATCCACGCTGTTGTTCATGCTCCCTTTAATACTTACCCTTTATTTTTGTCTGGACCTTCCCTGCCTTATGCTGATTCCCTGCTGCCTTCCCTGTTCAATTCTTATAGACCATTTCTAAACTGAGTCTGAAAGGCAGTTTAGAAGGCCTAATTCCTCAGAAGGGATAGAGGTATAGGCAATCTAATCACATCAGGCTGTGAAAGAACTGATCACCTGAACCTGCACACATTCTTTTCTGTGTACATGGATTGTTTTAACAAATATTTCTTGAGCACTTACTATATGTTAGGTACTGCGCTAGGTGCTACAAGCACAAGAGTGAGCTTAACTGATATGATCTCTGCTTCCAAGGAGTTAAGTCAAGTTTGTTGAGTTTTATAGACCAGTATGTAAGCAAAAGCTGATGGTATGAAGAAAAAGCCCAGGGACCCACATCACAGTGTAACAGGTAGACATGATCTAGTTCTGGAATTTTTTTTTTTTTTTGAGAGGTTTTTGCTATAGGGCACATGTGCTTGCCAGAAGGACAGAGAAAGACAGAGAGACAGAAAATGAGAAATCACCCCCCCCCAGGGGGGATGGCCACACCACAATCCCTTCTCCTACATTCTCCTCTCGGAATTTTGGGCACACACGCGCAAGCACCGGGCGTGAGTTTAAGCCACTGAGTTCAGGACTCGAATCGCGGTTGACTACATGGGAATCCAGGGACATAGCCATTACACTAATTGCTGGTCCCTGGAATGTGTTTTTAAGAAAGTGCTGCTTTGACACCAGCAGATAGTGTAATGGTTACGTTGCTGGATTCCCACATAGTCAACTGTTTCAAGCCCCAGACCTGGCAGCGTAAAACATGCTGGGTGGATATGCGTGTATGCCCAAAATCCTAAGAGGGGAACAGAGAGGAAGGTATTGCAGTGTGACTATCCCCCCTGGGGGGTGATTTCTCACTTTCTGTTCCTCTGTCTCTCTGGCAAGTGCACGCATCTTATAGCAAAAACCTCTCTAGACACAGAAAGAAAGAAAGAGAGAGAGAAAGAAAGAAAGAAAGAAAGAAAGGAAGGAAGGAAGGAAGGAAGGAAGGAAGGAAGGAAGGAAGGAAGGAAGGAAGGAAGGGGTGCTTGAAGTGAGATCTACAGAATAAGATGAAGAAGTAGTAGAACAGGTCAAGAACAGCAGATGCAAAGACACTGAGACTGAAGGGAACCTGTTATCACTTCTCACTTTTTCATTCGTTTATTCCACACATGTAGGACATCCACTAGTCCAGGCACTGTGATAGGTACTGGGATTTCTGTGATGAAGAAGATGCAGCCCATGCTCTCCACATCAGAACCATGTGGCTTTGATTTCTACTTGAGTTGAGCATGACTGAGTTTGACATGTTCTTTAGACCTGGTGCATGGGCTGCCCTGCCATCCATTCATAGGTAGGTGATTTCCCTCGAGGTTCTAATTAGTCTCACTTTCCTCTCACCCTCTATTAGCTCTATGCTATGATTGCTGAGGTCTCAGCATGCCTTGGGCTCAAACCTATTCAAGTTACAGACACTCTGGGGATCACACCTCTTTCAACAATATCAAAGGGTCAGGACTCACCTTCCCTCATACTGCTCACTTTTCTCTCTTCTACTTTGATGGTTTCTGAAAGAGATGAAAACAAAAGCAAAACAAACAAAAACCTTAGGAAATATATTCCCCTTAGGTACTAAAAGAAGGAAAGTTAGACAAGATTCTAAAGTCCTAGGACTCAGAGAGAAATTGTTGGGACCTTAAATATGGAAGAGATGGTTACTTACATGATGCAATTTTAAGGAGACTGGGGAGAAGATCCTTGTACGCAAAGGGTAAATGCCTTTGCTTGCACAGTGTGCTTTAAGTTTGAAAGTTGGAAAGAAAGTTTTCACTTCCAGCTCTATCCTTGCTAAAATAAAACTATACTACTGAGAGGGGTAATACATTTAGCTTTAGTAATCAGTTAGTGATCAGAAGAGTTTGTCTGGCTTCTTTCACTTAGCACAATGCTTCTGAAATTTATTTGTGTTGTTGCATAGTACCAGTAGCACAGTCCTTCCTACAGCTTAGCAGTATTCCATTGTACCACCATTTTTTAAAAAATCCAGTCACCAACAATTTACCAATCCTTTTCTGAAAGCAAGGTTTAGAAGGAGAAGGAAGGGAATCTCAAAGATGCTTATGCCTAAATGGGTGTGCTATATGGTGCTATCAAATGCTACTCCATGTTGCAGTGACGGGTCCAAGTGGGAAATCTCTAGCCAGTCTGACCTCCCAGAACTTGCATTGCTATTAGTATGGACTTACTATTGACTTGCTATCAATGCAACTTGGGGTACAAATTCCTTTAGCTAAACTGTCATTTTGTGCCATAGTAAGGCTTTTTGTTTGTTTGTTTTTACTTTTTTTTATATATAGCTTAAGTATTTTATTTGTTTGCAACTAAGCTCATTAAGACTATATCATAAAAATGTACAAAGAATAATGTTGAAATTTTTGATTAGATTTAACTTGAAGACATTCATTAATAAGGAATCTTCCCATGTGAATATTCCAGAAATTTCTCTAAGCCATCTGATGAAATGAACAACTGTCTTTGAAAATTACCTTACTTAGGAAGGTATTGGCATACATTTGAATTAAACTCAGAATTTTTCAAAATAAGTCCTATTTAAAACAAACAAAACTATTCTATATTCAAACTAAAACAGTCTTAATAGAACTTTATTTTCCAGAAATAGTAATAAAGGAAACAGGCTATTTTGTAAAATATGGTCCTGAACAAGTCACAGTAAAAACTAAACGTGTACTTAACTTCCACCTCCTGAAAAGTCAGGCTGGTTTCTGTTTCTTGGCCTTGGAAACACAGTGAAGAACAGCCTGTAAGTAACTCTGGGCGGAGGGGCCAAAATAAAGCTCAAGCAGTTGAGCATGGACATCACAAAAATAAATTGGGGGGAAACCTGACCAAAGGACCCAAATTCTATCTTTAGTCACTGACACTAAGATGAAGTGGCTTCTACCAACTAGCAGTGTTCTCCGGGCCTGACCCAGCCCCTTCCTCACCTGTTATACTCTTGGGCAAACCCTGATGTTTTTGCTCCTTTCCCTTTGGAGGTTCAGCGTCCAGGGAGTGCTTTGATTGTGTAAATGAGGTGAGCACTGCCTCCATGTGGGTATTTCATTTTTTTTTTTTATGAGAGATTTTTGCTATAGGGTGTGGGCACTTGTGAGAGAGACAGAAAGTGAGAAATCACCCCCCAGAGGGGATGGCCATGCCACAATCCCTTCTCCATTCTCTTCTCGGGATTTTGGAAATGCACGCACATGCACCTGGCATGAATTTTAAGCCTCTGGGTCGGAGACTTGAATCACTGTCGACTATGTGGAAGTCCAGCATCGTAACCATTACACCATCTGCTGGTCTCCCATGTGAGTAATTTTAGAGCTTGCAGTCAGAGCATTTTTCTAACATGGCTAGACAGAGTCCAAGTGTCAATGGCCTGTCTCCAGTTTGTTCTAATTCCTACCACACATTTTTAGATCTAGACCACAGACATTCAATATGCCATCATAAAAGTCCCTCCTCACTTTTGATTTATATTCTGTGCCTAAAAACAGTCCCTGTATTTAACAATAATACCTGCACATAAAACAATCCACTATGACAACTCATATGGTCACAAACATTAGTGATCTTCTGTAGACCAATCAAATGTTTTAAACCATAATTATCTTGCAGCAGATTCACAGCCAGAATCCCCAAGATCAAAAAAATGTGCATGGTACAAATAATAACTTAAAATACACATACACACATGCACAGACATTCACTCACACACTTCTTACAGAACTGTGCTTGGGGAAACTCTTTTTGTTGAGTGCCACTGAAGGCTTATTTTGCTAACTGCTCTCCAGGTATTTTTGTTTAGAAAAATCTATCACAGTCAGGGCACAGCTGTCGATGAGGAGAGACGAGAAACATACTTGTGGCAACCAGAAAATTTTAAGGTCTTTCAAGTTGTATAAAGTGGACCTGCAGAAACATTTAGGTGTTCTCAGGATGCAAAATTGGAGCTGAAATGTGGTATCAAGCCAACTTCTGGTTTCAGGCTAACCACAGTAAGGCTCGTTGACCTGGATGTCTGCGGAGAGATGTAGGGACCCCAGGAATCCTCTCAGTGAAGCCTATGATGCTTTTGTGATTCAGTCTTGACTGAACAATCTTCTTGAACTCTTCATGCCATTGACTGTTCTTTATGTGTGTGCGTATTTTAAAATAATCAGTTTCGTAGTGGTATAATAATAAACAAGAAAATTCAATCATTTTCAGTATAGAGTTAGGGGAGTTTAACAAATGTCATCTAGCAGTCACCATAATAAAGGTAGAGAACATTTATCTAAGTCCCAAGTGTTCCTTCCTGCTCCCTTTCAATCAATTTCTTTTCCCTATTCCATTCACTGGTAACCATTGAGTTGTTTAAGGAAATAATGATTTGCTGTTTCTAGAATTTTATATAAATGGTATCATACAATGTGTAGTTTTCTTGTGTAGTATCTGACTCCTTTAGCTTAACATAATGCATCAAAATGCTTTTGAAATTCATCTGTGTTGTTGCATATTGCCAGAAGTACATTCTTCCTACAGTTTAGCAATATTTCATTATATGAATATACCTAGAAATATTTTATTGTATGAATATACCACCATCTGTTTATCCACTCATCAAGTGATAAAAATTTAGGATGACAAGTTTTTGGTATTACGAAGAAAGCTGCTATGAGCATTTGTGCATGAATCTTTATATAGACACATGCTTTTTTTTTTTTTTGAGAAAGAGATTTTTGCTATCAGGCACATGAGCTTGCTGGGTGGGGGAGAGATAGAGAAATAGAGACTGAGAAATCACACCTTGTGGGGGATGGTAATGATGCAATCCCTTCTCAGGATTTTGGGCATTCACACACCCATGCCTGCATGAGTTTCAAGCCTCAGAATCCAATCTGCCATGTCCAGCGACATAACCATTACACCATCTGCTGGTCCCTAGACACATTTAGTTGATTGTGGGGGGGGATGACCATGCCACAATCCCTTCTCCTCCATTCTCCTCTCAGGATCTTGGGCATGCACGCACATGCACCCAGCGTGAGTTTAAGCCACTGGGTCTGAGACTCAACCGCGGTTGACTACATGGGAGTCTAGCAACGTAGCCATTACGCCGACTGCTGGTCCCCTGACTTTCATTTATTTAACTACCCATTGGAACCATACAGTTAAGTACTATCTTTGTACCCTGTTGTAGTCCTTCAGACACATGAAAGCAGTCCCTTGGTTCTCATGGGGCTTTTTTTTTTCAGGTTAAAGACCTTTATTTAAACTATTTCTTATTTGATGTAGCTCCCAGACACTTTCTAAATCTGTTTAGTTCCTTTTTTTTCAAAGTTCTTCTTAAAAATAATGATCTTTATAGCTGAATATAGTATTTCAGATATCTGTAGACCAACACAGAATAATTAAATTTTCATTTCACATCTATGACAAAGTCATCACAATAAAAAAAAGTTTCTGTTTACAGATGAAAGCAGACAATGAAAAGGAAGTTTCTAAGTTTGGATTTGATTACATATTTAACATTTTGAAGGGCAAATGTGATGATGTCAGTAGCTTCCAATTTTTAATCTCACAGATGAAGTTTCTGTTTAAATATTGGTTAACAGTGGTTTATTTCAATAAAGACGTTTGGCCTTTAAGAAATCATTCCTGAAAGAGCCAAGACTTTTATAGATTTGTTCTAAGAGACTCAAGTTGTAAAAATTGTTGGCTGATAGGGCACTATTATAAAGATTTCAGTCACGTAAGACCCACGCAAGTAAAATTTCAGAAGGAACTATTTTAGTTCTTCTCCCCAATGAGTAAACTCAGGTAACTTCTGATTAGACAAAGACAGTAATTCATAGTTAAAATTGCTCACGTCTTATCTGTCCTATTTGACAAAACATAGACACATGCACTACTAATTACTGAGAATAACCACGGCATTTCCCTTTTTTGATTTAAACAGTCTAAACCAGAAAATATATATAGTTTGGACACAGAAAAACTATAATTAATGAAGAATCATTGGACAGGACTTTTGATATCAAGTTAGTTAGCTTAAGAGTCATTTCCTCTGAGAAAATATTAATAATTAACGTCAAATGAGGAATAGTGTATAAATTCCTACTGGTAATCAGTGAGCTTGTATCTCTCTGAATGGAACATGACTGCGTTCATGTCTGTGTATTGGCAGAATTCAGTTCCTTGTGTTTGTAGAACTAAGAATCCCATCTCATTGCTGGATGGCAGTTGAAGGCCATTCCCAGCCCTGGAGTCTACTTACTTTCCTCAGCTCATGGCCCCCTTCCTTCACCTTCAAAGCCAGCAATGGTGGATCTGAGCCTCTCTCAAGCTTCAGATCTTTTCACCTTCTTCCAGCTCATCTCCCTAACCCAGCTGGGAAAAGTCTTTAACTAATGACAAGACTGAATTCACCTGGATAATTCAAGTCACTCGCTATCTGAAGGCCAGTACCTTAATCACTGGTATACAGCCCTTCTGCCATGTAAGATAACATATAGGTTCTGGGGTATAGGAAGTGGACATCTTGTTGGGGGATTTATTATTTTCCCTATCATATAGCCAATTCTAGAAACACCCAGAAAGTGAGGGCAGAGAGAGCTAAAGTTACAGAACCCAAATTTACCAAGTATGTCATGTCTACGTGTCATGGTTATGAGTGATACATCTCTTTCTCTTTCAAGACTCTTCCTTTTCACCAAACTTGCTGACACAGGTAACGGATCAAAAACACTTTCTTGTCAATCATTTTAAACATATTCTTGGGGATCATATGTATTGGTATTATCTGTCTTGCCCTCTTCCTTTAATCACTCATAACTAAATTGGACCATTTCCTGTGCACACACATGGCTTCTTTAACCCACTTCCAACTTCTCCTATGTGTACACACACATTCTATTTAACATCTGTAAAAGCTGTCAGAATAAAAATGGAGTGATTATGTCAACTTGTGTTAAACTCTGAGTAAACTGGGCTGGGGAAAGCCATAGAGGGAGGGTGTAATCCTCATATACATATGCTTATTAGTGAGAACTGCCACAAAGACTCTGCCAGAATGATACCAAGTTCTTGTGCAAAGACTACTACAATTTCACTCAAAAAATACTTTGACAGTAACACCTGCCTAGAAACTACCTGTGCAACCCAGGACTCACACCACCCTTGCCATCCATCTTGGCAGCCAAAGATAACTGTCTCAAAACAACTTATGTAATTGCTCTCCATTTTTCTTTTAAAAACCATATTTTCCTTGGCCTCCTTGAGTATAGCCATAGTTCACTATGGCAAGCATTTTCTGAATCACAATGCATATTCCTTTAGAATCTTTTCCTCTGTTAGAGGTTGACACTTCATCTATTCATCCAAATTTTTTCTGATTGCTTTGTGGGGGAAGAAACATTCATTTTCTTTTTTTCTATGTTTTCTTCTTTGTTTCATTTGTAAGCTGATCATTCAAATGTTAAAATAAATTTAGAAAGCAGTTTATTCCCCAAGTGGCTTCTGCATATTAGGCTAATTCTAAATGGCATCAAAATGAAAAGAAAAAGAAACTTAAAACTCTCACCTTGAAAAGAGAAAGCCTGGAAAAGCATGGTATGTCTGCACACATCTCAACTTGTGCTCTGAAGTTTACACTTTTGTATCATAGAAATTTCCTAATATACCCCATACTTGGGTAGTTTGAGTCTACCATTGCTTTATATTAACTTATTGAAATTATTTTCTTGAAATTTAATTGTTATTCCCATTTTCTATTTTAAGAATACAGCAGAATAAAGTAAATGGTTGCTAATGCCATTCATGCATTTCCAAAATAGATATTAAAATTAATACATTGAAATCTTAAATAAGATGCTAGCCAGAAGCATTACTTATCTTATGCTTTCTACCTCAAGTGAATAAGAAAGTTATCTGAATTATTAGCACCAACCAAATTGTTACCAGACGCAGTTATTGAAATAAGTCCAGGGGCTAACAAGTGGCATGGTGGTTAAGGCTGTGGATCCCACATGGCTATCTCCATGGTTCAAGTCCCAGACTTAGTTGCTTGAAAAATATGCCAGACACATGTGAATGCATGCCCAAAATCCTGAGAGGAGAAAGGAGGAGAAGGGATTGTACTGTGACCATCTCTTGTGTGGGGCAATTCCTCACTTTTCCTCTCTCAGTCTCTCTCCAGTGAGTGCACATGCCCTATGGCAAAAATCTCAAAACAGGGAAAAAAATAAAAAGGAATGAAGTCCAATTTTACTTTAAAACTTGCCGAAACCAGCCCAAGCCACAAATAGGCATGGGGTTATAATGAACTCAGAAGATACTCTGCCCCCATTAAACACTTTCACAATGGTACCTTAATACTGGTTTCCTGAGAAAGCTGATTATTACTTGCTTTAACCACCACTGGTGGTGGTGGTGGTGGGAGGGGGGTCAGTATAAGTCAACGGGGAGGCTGTTCAATTCGATCCAGTTTACAATAGCAAGACTGTTGGAACAACCCAAGTATCCAAAAAATAGTGTTGGTTATAAATAAATAAAGATACATCCACATAATGAGATCTCTTACAGTCATTTAAAATGATATTGTAGACAGATATTTATAACATTGAACATTGTCCTGCTATGTTTAGTATAACAAAGTTAGAAAATAGTACATGTGATATTATCCAAATTGTGAAAAATCCCTTACATTATCCCATTTGTAGGCAACAACATAGATTTATATAGAGAAAAATCTGGAATGTATATACTAAAGATATTGTCTGCATTATTATGTTTTTCTTACAAGTGGAATTATAGGTGATTTTTACTTTGGGTATGTTTGATAATGGATATGTATTAGTTGTAATTAGTACAAGTTAATATGATTTTTTATGAATATTTAGAAGTCAATGAAGAACATTTCATTTAACTTATTTCATAGAAAACCTAGACTTTCAGAGATGAGAAGGTGAATCTTGTGACCATCTAATAAACATCTCTGTTTAAATACCATCAGTTCCAGAATCTTTAACATTTTGAAGTATTTTCACTATTTAATTTTACTGAATTGCCACAATAACCTCACAAACTGAGGTAGGTAAAGCAAGTAATAATCAACTTTTTCAGGAAATCAGAAATGCAGTTGTAAACTTCAGGTAGAACTATTGCCCTTTTTTTTTTTTTTTCCATAGGGTGCATGTACTCACCAAAGAGAGATAGAGAGAAGGAAAGTGAGAAGTCACCCCCCAGGACAGATGGCCACAACACAATCCCTTCTCCTTTCTCCTCTCTAGATTTTGGGCATGCACACGCACATGCCTGGTATGATTTTTCAAGCCGCCAGGTCCAGTGCTTGAACCATGGTGGCCATGTGGGAGTTCAGTGCCTTTACCACCACACCATCTACGGCTCCCTATTGCCTTTCTTGGAAGTCCAGAGCAACATTAGTGTCACCTGAATCCAGTCTACATAGGCCCCGAACTCTGTGGGAAAATCTTTTTTTCCAAGAACTTTGTGACTTTTTGGTAGTCTGAGCTCAGTCAATGAGCTCCAGAGGCAGCTGATTGGGAAGCAGCTGCAAAGTGGTGACCTCCAGAGAGGACAAGGACTGACTTACCACGTTCATAAGATGCTCCAGGCTTCCGTTTCTTTTTCAGTTTCCTCAATGATTGACTGATGATCACAGGTGCAATGACCAATGGCACAAGTGCAATGGCAAACCAGGTTGATGGTGATGGTGGGTCAGGCAGCGGCTGGTTCTCAGGATCTAGAAATAACCACAAGTTTTCAATCAGCCAGGAAGATTTAGAAAGGGTTTGTATATTTGCTGTTGTTCTCTTTATTTACCTGCCAGCATTTCCTGGGAGCTCTAGGGCCAGAGGAGCCCAAAATGAGGCCATAAGAAGTCACAATCCCAGGACCTCTGCAACTAAGAACCAGGCCTGTGTCTCTGGCCAAATGCTTGGAATGAGCTGGCTTTCGTCCCTGAGGTGGAGATGACACTGACCATAATCTGGAAGAAGAGCTTCAACCCGACCATGATTCTAGAATGCAAAGTAATCTGTGATGGGGCTCTCTATATGCAGCCATCTGTGCAATGTCCCAGTCCCCCATGCAATTTCCAACTATGGAAACTTTCCTTGTAATGATTCACCTGTCTACCACCCTCTCTGAGTCAGGCACCAGACATCTCTCTTGGACAAATGGAACAGCCTCCTCCCAGGCCCTGACCTTCATGTTTTCTTTATTTTTCATCAAGGTCCTGGAAGGCTTCTCTAGCATGGCTTTCAGTATGTCTCACCTACTAGAAAACTTTCTTTTTTTCTAAGGTTTTTGCCATAGGGTGCATGCAGTCACTGGAGGGAGAGAGAAACAGAGAGGAGGAAAGTGAGAAATCACATCCCCCTGATGGCTACGCTACAGTCCCTTCTCCTCCATTCTCTAGGGATTTGGGGTATGCACACGCATGCACTCAGAGTGATTTTCATTCTGCCAGGTCTGGGACTTGAACCATGGTTGGTCCTGTAAGAATTCAGTGCCTTACCACATGCTACCTGCTGGCCCAACCTTTAATATTTCTTAATGTCCTGAGGAATCTGGGTCAGAATTAACTCCCTGGAGGTCAGAACTTACTTTCTTGCAGGGAAGGCATTTCAATTGCTGGCATTATAGGCCATCTTCAATACCTTTGATCTGCCTCAGTTTATCCTACTTAAGCCTGTTTGGCATTCACAGGAAAGGAAGGTTATACTTGTTAACATGGAAACTGCTACCTTTTTGACATCCTACAAGATTTCTTGACTAGGGACTAACTTATCTCTAGTAAAGCCATAGAGTAGGGAACAGAGAGAAGCAAGCTCCACTTTCCAGAGGCAGCTGGAGCTGAAATATCTCTAAAAATGTAGTACCTGGGGAGGTTTCTGTGGGAGTTGAGAAGCAGCAGAAAGGTGAACCATGTCTAGTGGTGGTAAGCCCCTGTTCATTTGCAGACTGTGAGAGTCCCAAGGCATGTTATATACAAGGAGGTCTTCAAAAAGTTCACAGACAATTCATATTATGGGAAAAAACCCTGTATATGGATTTTAACTTTTTTTTGCACCAAAATAAATTCATACTTTAATTCCATCTCCTGTGTTTATTATGGGGGAAAAAAGTGAACTCCACCCATAGTTTTATGTGCATTTCTCATGAACTTTTTGAGGACTCCTAGTATTAGTGACGTTGGTGATCACATGAAGGTACTCAGATTCCAGCAGAGCTGGAATTCCAACAAGCTATCAGGCCAACTGAGGCTACAGAGGAAGGAACAGGGGCACACTGGGTGGACCACCATTTACTGGACTCGAAGGCTGAGGTTACTAAGTAGAAAGAAATCAGAACTAGGAAAGGGGACTGGCCCAGCTGGAAAGTTGCTTGGCAGGGACTGGCCCTGGGGCTGTTCAAAAGAGTCAGTCTATGGTCAAATTACATACCTATGAGTCTCCAGGAGAGTGGCAGCAAAGTTAGGGGTACTGAAGTGTGGGGGTAGGATGAAACAAGGAGTTAAAATTACTAAATTAGGCTTGGCCTTAAGCTGCCCCATATATATTTTAAGTTTGGCCTAAAGGCTTCTCACACATAGGAATGTAACCTAACTTGATGTGTAAACAGACTGTAACCTCTATAACAAGTGGCAGAATCTCAGCCAATCACAAAGAGCCAACTGTTCAAACCCTTCAAATAAGGCAAGCACCAAACTGGAAGCAAGCGAGCTGTTTTCCACTGATTCTGTACTTCTGTTCCATTTTCTGTACGTCACTTTCTCTTTTCTGTCCGTAAATGGTATCTAACCATGCAGCAGCCTGGAGTTGCTCTGAACCTCCTCTGGCTTTGGAGACTGCCTGATTCATGAATCATTCTTTACTCACCTAAACTCTGTTAAATTTAATTTGTCAAAAGTTTTTTGTTGTTGGGAACCAGCAGTTAGCGTAATGGCTATGTCGCTGGACTCCCACGTAGTCGACCGCGGTTCGTGTCCTGGACCCGGTGGCTTAAAACTCACGCCGGGCGCGTGTGTGTGCGTGCCCAAGATCCCGAGAGGAGAATGGAGGAGAAGGGATTGCGGCGTGGCCATCCCCCCTGGGGGGTGATTTCTCGCTTTCTGTCTCTATGTCTCTCTCTGTCTGTCTGGCGAGCGCACGCGCCCTACAGTGAAAATCTCTCAAAAAAAAAAAGTTTTTTGTTGTTGTTGTTTGTTTTTGTTTTTTCCTTTTAACAGATGGATAGGCTAGAAGGGTGAAAATCACCAGGCAGAGCTGGAGAAGGGCCGAGGTCTGCAGAAGGCAGAAGGCAGAAGGTGGGGAAGAGTCCAGGATCAGAATAAGCTGGGCTGGGCAGAGTAAGGCAGAGTGCCTTTCTAGACTCTAGGAAGGAATTTGCAGTTATGACTCCTTGAGAGTGAAGTCTAAGTATAGATACCTGCCTTCTGGGACAAAGTTGGGGCCTTAAAATGCAGGCAGCTCCTATTTGTGGTCAGTGCTTAGTCAGTCACCCCCTTTCCTCCAGCTGGAGTGATCCCCAGCACACATGTGAACCTGCCATAACCATTTCTGCCTCTGAGTCTTTCTTTGACAAGTTTCCTGCATGCAAATCAGAAACAGATTATCCATTGTGGTCCTCTCAACCTGCAGAGCTCAGATGCTGGCTCTAAAGTTTTCTATTCAGGAAGTCACTACAACACTGAGAACTTGTCAACTAGTATGCTCTGTCCTCTCTTTCCCCCTCTCCTTATTAAGCCAAATAATTTCTTGTATGGTTTTATAAAATCCCACATTCTTTACGAATTCTTCCCTGACCCTCAACGATCTTGCCTGCTTCTGACTGCCCATAAAACTAATTATCAGTTGCTTTTGTTTTCAATTTAGTCACATATTTTCATAGAATATAATTTAGAGTCTAATTCAACCTCGTTAAGATTCAGTTTTTCTTGTATGTATATCATGGTGTTCTGGTTCAATCAGGTTCTCAAGGACAGAAACAATGTCTTATATCTTCTAGTTTTTAGAAGATAAAACCAACAATGTCTAGAATATTCCACACTCAAATAGTTCTTTATAGTGTGTGTGTGTGTGTGTGCGTGTGTGCATGTGTGTGTGTGTTGTGTTTAATCAATGGAAGAATTCTACCCTGGAGGAATCATGCATTTTCAGACCGGAACTTCAGAATCCTCCATCTAAAAGAGACTGGGTCAGTTTCAGGGTTAAGGACATGTTTCTTTAAGTGCAGTACAAGTTCATAGCCTCCTGAACCCTGCATCACTCATAGAAGTGGGAGCCCCCAACTTGGGTCCCTCCTACCAGCATCCTAAAATGACCTGGTTGGAGATTTTCTAGCAAGCAGGGATCACTGGATGGTTGTCTTAAGCACTGTGTATAATACCTGATGGGAAAAAATAGTCTTGAGAAGTCGTTTTACCTATATGGAAAGGTGAGGAGAAAAGCTGTGTCTCCATTAGTTCAGTTTGCAGGACACAGAAGATGGTCATATTGCTTGTAACAGCAGGTAATGAAATAGACAAGCTGATGGAAACATTGTAGAGTTCTGTGACATTATCTTGAGATGTCTGCATGATAGCATCATAACCAGTAGTAGAATTTTCAGTTTTTAGCAAAAAGTACATCTTCTTAGGTTCTGGGTAACCTTGTACAGATGAGCAGGTCATATTTATGTAAGAATTTTCTGTCACGTTAGAAAGTTGCACTATTTCAGGTTGACTGAAGTTAGCTGCAAACAGAATAGAAATGCAAAATAAAATCAGTATAAGTTAGTTGTATCTAGAAGAGAACAGAAAATAACTAGATAGCCTAGGTACCTGATCTGGGAGCTAACTGGGGAGTACCCAATTATGTAGTAATAATTTCTCCATTCACAATCATCTCTATCTCATCTCTCAGTCCACGGTAAGAGTCACATAATTATCCCACACTTATTTTTTGAGAATGGAGTTTTAGGCCATGCTTATTTTCTGCTTATCCAAATCAAGAGGGGGAGTGCTTTCTGAGTGACAGGAAGACTAAAATTGGATCATTGAAGATCACAATGAAACTACTATTTCAGGGACTGGAATGCTTGGAAGGAGAAGTGGTCTGATTCTAGAACCCCAATGTCCCATAGGATATTCTAGTCCACCAGATTAAAATAGCAGAAAGAAATTGAGCTAAAGTCCCACCAAGAACCAAAAGAGTTCATGGTATTGGCATGCTCTCAAGTCTTAACTTTCAGAAACCCAAGCAGGATAGAGGTGGGTAAATGGGTGGGGATTTGGGATTTAGAAAATTTAGAGTACTGGTTTTTAGTATGCTGTCAAGATGTTTGTACTATACTGTAAGTAAGATGAAGGCTGAATCCAACACTTTTAGGGAAAACTACAATATTTGGTAAACACAATGCTCCTCTTGCCTTCGTCAGCCATTTGTATTTTTATAGCTATTGAGGATCATGGGTGTCCAGACCTTTCTCATGGCCTTCTTCCAGCCAAATCCTTTGTTCTTTTTTTTATAATTACTAGCTAGTTTGCAGGGTCTACATATTAATTCATAACTTAGTATATTGTTTTTAAAATGTCAGTCATGCCCATGTCATCTTTACAAGTTTTGCTATAGCAGCATCCTATTTGAGCACTCTGCTTATAATTTCTGTGTAGATGGAGGATTGCCAGAAATTATTTAGGCTTCTTAGCAATATCTGAAATCACAGGTTAGATAAATTGTAGTTTTGCTAATATACAGTCAGGATATAAATCTATTTTTCAAAAAATGCTTCTCTGTTCCCCCCTAAATAACATCCCATGTTCCTCCAATGGTAGCTGGTCACACTTTGAAAACGCCAGGGTAGTTTGGTTAAACATTCCAAAAGCCCTGCAGCCTCCTTTGGCTCACAGAGAACTCAAAGAGCAGGTCTCCATTCTATTTCTACTTTTGCCTCTGTTTTACCCTGTGGGTTCAGAACAGGTGTTGACCTGTTTTTTTCTAGTTTTATCAAAAATTAATCTGGGCTCAGTAATACCACACCTGGGTATCTCAGCTAGCAAAATGAAAATTTATGTTCACACAAAAAAATCTTTGTATGAATGCTCACAGCCCTCAATTCCCAATAGTTCAAACTAGAAACAACGCAAATGTCTTTCAGTGGGCTAAATGGATAAAAAATAGATTTCTGCTCACCTATAAAAAGGAACAAACGATACACGCAGCAATTTGAATGAATTTCAAAAGTGTTATGCTGAATAAAAGATGCCAGTCTTAAAAATGTTACATACTGTCTGCTGGCTCCATTTATGTAACATTCTCAGAAAGACAAAACTATGGGATGGGAAACAAATGTTATGGATGTAAAGAGGGTAAGACTATAAAGAGATAGTATGAAGGACTTTTTTAGGGTGACAGCATGGTTCCATTTCCTTTATATAGTGGTGGTTACATAAGTCTATACATAATTGATAAAATTAAAACTGTGGGTCCAGCAGGTGGTGTAGTGGTTAAGGCACTGGACTCCTTCCTACGTGGCTGACTGAGGTTGAGTCTGGGATCTGGTGACTTGAAACACCCCGGACATGTGTGCATGCCAAAATCTTGAGAGGAGAATTGAGGAGAAGGGATTGTGGCATGGCCATCCATCCTGGAGGGTTGCAGGGTGGGGGGGTGGTGGTGGTGATTTCTTGCTTTCTGTCTCTTTGTCTCTCTCTATCTCTCTGGCAAGCATACATGCCCTATAACAAAAATCTGTTAAAAAATTAATAAAACTGTACATCACCACCACAAAAAAGATATATGTTGCTGTATGATAATTTTAAAAATACTATAATATTTAGGCTTTCTTTCTTTCTTTCTTTTTTTTTTTTGTAGAGGTTTTTGCTATAGGGTGCATGCACTTGCCAGACAGAGAGAGACATAGAGACAGAAAGCGAGAAATCACCCCCCAGGGGGGATGGCCACACTGCAATCCCTTCTCCATTCTCCTCTCGGGATCTTGGGCACGCACACACACGCGCCCGGCGTGAGTTTAAGCCACCAGGTCCAGGACTCGAACCGCGGTCAACTATGTGGGAGTCCAGCGACATAGTCATTACACCAACTGCTGGTCCCTAGGCTTTCTTTTTTCTGTTTGTTTGGGCTTTTTTTAAGAGAGATTTTTTGCTATAGGGCTTGTGCACTCACTGGAGAGACAGAGAAACAGAAAGCAAGAAATCACCCACCAGGGGAGATGGCCACGCTGCAATCCCTTCTCCTCTAAAGATTTTAGACATGCATGGACACACGCCTGGCATGAGTTTTAAGTCACCAGGTTCAGAACTCAAACTGCAGTTGACTATGTGGGAGTCCAGTAACATAACCGTTATGCCATTTGCTGGTTCTGACATTTAGGCTTAGGCTTTCTAAAGCCTGGTAAAGCAGAGGAGCTGGTTTGTCATCTTGTGGTTATGTCTGCTGGATTATTTCCCTTCTGTCTACTGGCTCATGGTTGGGCAGCAAACAACTCATAAGCAACCCAGAGGATGTTGAAAGGTAAAACCAAATCAGTCAGCTGTCAGTCTCACTAGAAGCCAGGCAAAGACTGAGCAAGCGAGAATGATTAGACCAAAGGAGAAAATGAATGTAAAAGATTTGAAGCCTAGATGGTTACATAAACTTAACAATGACCAAATTACCCATGGTTTTCACTGAGCCACATCAGCTTTGTTTAATTAGCTCATTTGGTCCCCAAAGCAGATTCTTAACTGAGTCTTCAAAAGCAAAGTATAAGAAGTATGAAGGACTTTCAGTTCCCTACTCCCATACCCTAAGCTCCCTTCAGATGGACTTCCCAGAATGGTGTTCTCTGCCTTCTCTCCACAGGTTCCTCCTTCCCTTGGGGCCCTCAAGCTTCTGTCACCACCCACTCCAATGCTTCTCTACTCCTTTGTAGTCTTATCTGAGAAAAGCACGGATCTGAACACACTGTGGCCACGTACCAAGCACTGACAGATCAGTAGTCATCTGGTGGATGGAAACCAGTCCTTTAGGCTTTTTGTGATGGACGAAGCATTGGTATGAGCCCTTGTCTTTGATCTGAATGTTGTGAAGTCGCAGGGTCCAACTGTCCTGGTCAAAGCTTGTGCGGCCCAAATATTTGAGATCGATGTTGTCTAGTTTGTCTTTGCCTAAATATCTCTCGTACAGAACCAGCATTTCCTGGTTCTGCCAAAATACTACCAGCTCCCCAAGGCTTATATTTTGGGGGTTTGTAAATTGGCAGGGCAGGTCTGCAACATCATTGAAATAAGCCTGACTTGCAAGGGAAGCAGCACCTAAAAAAGGAAAGGGCGGGATTAGGAAAGAAGAAACAAGAAAGAATTAAAACAAAAACAAAAGTTCTGTTTTTTAATATACAATATGCAGATGCTACCTTTTCAGCAATGATACTGAAGAACTAGATAGAAAGCTCTGGAACTGTGCATAAATGCTGAGCATCCGGAAATTAAGACTTTCTCCCTCTGCTAACTAAATGTGTGAAATTTTTGCAAACTGCAACCTTCTGGGGCCTCGGTTTCCTCATCTGCTTAATGAAGTGGTAGCCTAAATGTTCTGAGGCTCTTTCTTGCACTAGATTTCTTCTGTGACTTAAAATCTCTAGAAAGGAAAAAAAATGCAGTTGGACAACTCATTCACATACTATAACCGGAAAGGTGATGCTCATCACTATAGCTGTTCCAGGCTTCAAAAAGTCTAAATCACCTACAAAAGCACTTCTCCCCCTTTGTATCCTCTTATTCCTTTGTTGTCTATAGTGAAAAGATTGCTGAGAATGGTAACAAATTTGATTCCTTTTCTGTTATGCCTCCTCAGTTGGGAGTCACATTGAGTAATACCTTAAAATTCAATTAATTGCTTTGATAGAACCTCCCCCAGGCTGCTGCTCCTGTGTCCAGCTCTCCAGGGACATAAAATAATTTGGAAATGACTCAAGTAGTAAACCAAGGCCTCTATTCTCAGTGACCTCTCTAAGCTCTTTCAGGATCAGAAAGAGAACTGGGCAAATTTGATGGTTGTTTTAGGATGGTGGTGGTTGGAGACCAATTAAGACATATGTGCTTTGGGAGTACTGGGGAAACCCCAGGCACCACAAAGATAGTGCTCTCAGAATGCACTGTTCCTGCAAAATTTTATAACTCACAGGGAGCATGTTGGAAGTGTTGAGAGAAAGACTTTGGTCTCCAAGGGCAATATTTAGGTTTGTGGGAGAGATTTAATCACTATCACTCCTTAAATGTGACTGGGGACAGAGTTTTCCAGGACCTTTTTTGGGTCACAAAATTACTTCAGTCTTGGTGAAGAAAGTAAGTAGTGGTGGGTGAGAAGGTGGAGGGTGGGGTGGGGAATGATGTTTCTTAGCATGAAATTAGATGTCCCTTGGGGAGGTTGTTAGAGTAGTTTCCAAATAAAGTTTCAGTATTCAGGATTATAATGAAATGTGTTGGCATTGAGGAGAAAAGAGAGAGAGATGGTTAGTGAGAGAAATAAGGGGAGTTTCATTTGAAGTGTTCTTGGTGGGGAAGAAGTTAAATTGATCTGATCAATGGATTTCTCTTCAAAGAGGTTGTCAAGAAATAAATAACAGAGACATACAATTGACAAAACTGAACTGTGTGTAGGTTGGGCCAGTGCAAACACATTATCATGGGCTTGGTGGTTCCTGAACTCTAAGGAGAGAACTCTAGGCGTTGGTGAGAGTTGGCACAAGTTTGCTTTACAGTCACTGGAACTTTGGGAAGCAGTTAAGTATGAAATGCGCCATCTGTACAGGATGTGTACCTATACTGAAGGAAGGAAAACATCTACATGGGATTCTAGCACAGTTCAAGGAAGACCTGAGGAAGATTTACCGTATCAGGTAATTACCTTACAAGGCAAAATATGGGATTCTAGCACAGTTCAAGGAAGACCTAAGGAAGATTTACCTTATCAGGTAATTACCTTACAAGACAAACCTGGGCTTCTGCCACCCTTGTGCTAAACTCTCAATGATAATGCAAGAGTGCCACCTACTGTGAAAGCTTCTAGCACCTTGTTTAAGGGAATACATTCTGGTTTTGGTTTAGTTTGCCATTTGATACAGAACAGATGACGTAATAGAGAAAACAAACACACAATGGAAAACTCTGCCCGTAGTGGTCAACACTGTTATTATTTAGCTGTCAGTGGTGTCTTCTTGACCAGGAATGACTTCACCCTTGGCTTCTTCTGTCATCTTGATTGACATCCTTTTCTCTGCAGAGCCTTAAAGTACCTTCTCTCCTTCCTATCCACTCTCTCCACTCTCAGATGAGTCCCACTTCTCTGACCTAGGGCTCTTCTTCCAAAGATTACCAGAGCTTTCTCCTCCACCCACGTAACTGCTCCCTTCTTCATCTACCAACTGAAAGTGTGGTCTCTAGACCAATGGTATTACCTGTGGGCTGGCCAAAAAAGCAGAATCTCTAGCCCCACCCAAAACCCGAGTCAGAATCTACATTTTAGAAAAAGCTCCAGTTTGAGAAGCTGCTGTAGAGGATCTTTGCTTCTGATTCCAGAGTAGATAAAAGATGACAGTGGGAATGTAAACTGGTTCAGCCACTGTGGAGAACAATACAGAGGTTCCTCAAAGATCTACAAATAGAACTACCATTTGATTCAGCAATCCCACTTCTGGGTATCTACCCAAAGGACAGGAGAATGCTCAGTCAGAAAAATGCTTGCACATCAATGTTTATTGCAGCATTATTCACAATTGCCAAGACATGGAACCAACCTAAATGTCCACAAACTGATGAATGGATTGGAAAAGTGTGGTATATACACTCTATGGAATACTACTCAGCCATAAAAAATAACAAGACCCTGGCATTTGATAGAAAGTGGTGAGATATGGAGGATCTATTGCTGAGTGAAGTAAGCCAGGCTATGAAAGAAAGATATTGTATGTATCCATTTAATATATACCGACTATCCACACTCTACGGTAGAGAGCGAAATATTGGAGGACATAAAAGCAGTGAAAGTACTTATCAAGAATAAGACAGTGTGGAATTGGGGGGTGAAGAGAAGAGGATAGAGAAAGATAGCAAGAGAACAAATAGAGAGGCATGACATTAGTGGGACACAGATATGACTTATTACCTGTTGATGATGACGTGTATAGTATTCTCAACTGGATTGGACTGAGAAGTATTTCATGATGGGTAAAGTCTTTTTACAAGAAAAATGAGAAATACTGATCGACTGTTTAAAAAAATAATTGGAATAATAATAATAATGATCAGAAAAAACAAAAAGATATTGAATGATGAAGTAGGGAATTTAATGTCTCTGTATTGACTGACATGCATGGCAATCCCTTTTGAAACAGCAATGCAGTAGGCTGTAAAGTTATATGCAATTCAATGTAATATAAACAAGATTATGATGATAAAAAATAAATAAATAAAAAGGAAAACAACAACAACAACAACAAATCCATCATCACACTTACTATACCTTAGATCCTGAAAACTTGTTCGTCTTATAATGTAAACTTTATATTCTTTGACCAATATCTCCATTTCCCTCCTCCTTAATCCTTGGTAACCACTATTCTACTTTCTGCTTCTGTAAATATTTTGTTTTGTTTGTTTGTTTTAGATTTCACATGTAAGTAAGATCATACGGTATTTGTCCTTTGGTATTTGGCTTATTTTATTTATTGAATAGCATAATATACTCCAAGTTTATCCATGTTGTCTCAAGTGACAGAATTTCCTTCTTTTTAATGGAGGAATAATATCTCAATATACAAATATGTACTTTCTTTTTTTTTCTCTTTAAATTTATTTATTTTTTACATTAATTCACTATACATCATTACAGCATACAGATGAATTTTCCATCCAAAATACACTGTGTATTGGCTCAATCAAGCACATCAACATACATGTTATCAGCAAATAATTTTCCAATTCTTATGTCTTGTATACTTTGTTTTTCGTTTTGCCCAGGAAATATCATTACCAGTTCAAAACTGCTCTTCTTGATATTAACTTGCTATTGAAAGAAGTTAGATTACTTATGAAATTGTGTGATCAACAAAATGTTGGGGGAAAAGGAATGGAAGACAACTGTATATAGAAGAGTTAGTGTAATAAGAGAGTGGGAAAGGGCAGCGGGTCAAACATGGGGTAAAAAACATATATATACATATACATATGTATGAAAGTAGAAATGGAATATTATTGATGATAACATGCATGATTATTCTAGATGGGAAACCACATTTAGTATGTTGTGATGATGCTCAGGGAATTAATGTTAAGTAATTTTAAAAAAATTGCAGGAGAAAAAAACAAAACAGTAAAACTATTCATATCGAAATTTTTAAAAACATGCATATTTTATGACTGCAGTAAGCTATATAGCCCCAGCTGGGTACTACTTTATAGTGTGTTCATTCTACGCACTGAAGTTTATGCCTAAAGTCAGACAAATATGTACTTTCTTTATCAATTTATCTGTGGGTGGACACTTAAGTTGTCTCCATTTCTTGACTATTGTGAATAATGCTTCAATGAACTCGGAAATATAGACATCTCTTTAAGATACTGATTTCATTTCTTTTGGATATACATCCAAAAGTGGAATTACTGGGTCATAGAGTAGTTAGATTTTTAATTTTTTGAGGAATCACCATATTGTTTTTCATAGCAGCTGGACCATTTTGCTTTCCTAGTAACAGGGTACAAAGATTTCCTTTGCTCTGCACCCTTACCAACACTTCTTACCTTTTATCATTGTGATAAAAGCCATACTAACAAGTGCAAGGTGATATCTCATTGTAATGTCAATTTGCATTTCTCTGTTGATTAGTGGTGTTCAGTCATTTTCATGTAACTGTTGGCTATTCGTATGTCTTAAAATGTCTATTCAGCTTCTTTATACATTTTTAATCAAAATCTTTGTTTTCTTGATATTGAGTTAAACAATTCTTTTTATACTTTGGCTTTTGTTGGATATCTAGTTTGCAAAAATATGTTTTCTCATATGATAGATTACCTTTACATTTTGTTAACTATTTCTTTTGGTGAGCAGAAGCATTTAGTTTGATGTAGTCCAACTTATTTAACTTTGCTTTTGTTGTTTGTGCTTTTAGTATCATATCAAAAAGTTATTCCCAAGGCCTGTGTCAAGAGATTTTTGACCTACATTTTCTTCTAGGAGCTTTATGATTTCAGATCTGACACTTAAGTCTTTGATCCATTTTGAGGTTACTTTTGCATATATTATAAGACAAGGGTCTAAT